TGACTACTAGCAGTCTGGGCAGAAGGTGGAAAGAAAAATAAGCCACCCTTACTGTAACTCTTTCTTTTCCACACTGGACAGTACAAAAGGTGAGTCTCTCCTTGAAAATGCATGAGGGAATCTGTAGCTTCTCGTCCAAAAGTTCTGGGCACTTCCGGGGAAGTGAATGCTAGTTATGATTTGCCCACAGAAGGCAGCATAGGCACATGGGTTTTTTAAAGGCAGGGAGGGGAGGATGCAAGTTTGAAATAGTAGGTCCAACAATTACTGAAGGAGGCTGAGTAAGAACCCAGGTAATTTTGTGATTATTTAAATTGCATAGGCCATGGCAGCAAAACTAATTAAACTAAAAGCTGTGAGGATCGGGTTCACCAGCAGATTCTGTTACACTGTTCTTGTTCTTACAGCTGAGAAAAGTATTTTAAAAGTCTGGAAAACTTGTTCACATTTTCTTCTGTCAAATTGAAGCTCTCACTTTCTCTGTTTACATTTCATGGCATTTGGGGGCATATGAATAAGAAAAATATTGAAGAATCTCTTTTTTATTGATCTGATCTTCACAATCAAGACAACCAGATCAACAATAAATTAAGTGTGTGGAATCAGTACCATGCATCTTGTAGGTTTGATGAAAGTCTCCTAGACTTAACAGGATGTCAGTTTATATATGCAAACATTATTCAAAACTGTGACCTTTTGTGGGGGGAGGGGTGATTTAACTTCCCTTTTTGGACAATATAGTAGTGGCTACACTTGTTCCTAGCAAACAACACCCATCATGAAATGGGTTGCTGTACTTTGCCGAAAGTGTGGTGAGATTTGGTCCATAGAATCACTTACAGTCAGACATGACTGAACAGCTGAACGACAACTTTGGGTTTCTTGTTAACTTCTAAACCATCAAAGCCTGTACCATATAGAATGTTTTAAGGTTATGTCACACATGCATGTTCCACACTTTACTGGGCATGCTTGGGCCTTATTGGTTGAATTCAGAGGGGATGGTTTACCCCTTAGTTGTGTTATTTGGCATTTTTAAATGATTTAGATTGTAAATAAATGTTGTACTTCTACAAAAGTCAGGCTTCTTGGTGGCCTTGTTTTGGCTACAGTCCTGGCAGCATTCATCACCTTGGTTTGCTGTCATTTAATCTTAATACCAGACAGTCCCAGCACAAAATTAAACTTCAACATGTGAATTGTTTTTGAAATGCATTACAGAGATGTTTTGAAGCAATAATGGAGTACATTCCTGATAAGATCGTCAGATGTTCTACTGTATTGAAGGCTTTCTTCTGCTCTGAAATACTCGCAGAGGACAGTCCTGTATTTGATGGGCTGCCCAGTCCAAGTCCAGCTTAAAGACAATGAACCATAAGGAGGGATGCCCAGCAGGGGCCATGAACTCGCCCATGAACAGTTTGCACTACCGGAACAGCAAACTAAGCTGGTATCATAAGTTCGTTTTCCTTTTACCCCCATCCTTCTTTTGCCTTTCAAGGCGGATCAAAATGAGAGGCTACTAATGACAGACTTTATTTATTAGTAAGTCAGCCAAACCAGCTGGCTGATCCAACAGGTATTTTGCAGAGATTGTTAGCAAAAGACAACCCAGCTAGTTAATGAGTCAACTAATAGGGAAGGAAAGTACCATGCATAGAAGAACTTGATTCCAGACTGGGTTCCTCTCCTCCTTTGCTATCTAACAGAGTGTGCTTCACCATCAGGAAGGTTCCCACTGCTTGTGTGCCAGGTGGTGGGAACGCAGAACAGCACTGGATTGGCCAGCTCGCTTGCGCTGATACAGCATGACCAGACTTCTTAAGTCACATCCCTCCTGCTCTGCCCCTGCTTGATCAACAGTGTCTTCCCTGGAAGAAGACAAGACCCGATGCTTCCCAGCCAAGTGACATATTCTAAGGCTTGGCAGTCTTGATATTCCAGCCAAGGATTCCATCCCATCCTTTTGTTTCCAATTCAGCTTCAGCTTCTAACTTTAGCCATCTTGGAATGCTTCATTTTGGGAAAAGTGGGCCCAGTCCCCACAGCAGGCACACAGACCACCTGGTTGTCTTCTCGGTTATGCACCTGACCATCTCTATTATATTTCTAAATCTGCACAGGCAACCAACATTCCAAATTATGCCCTCTTTTTCAGTGATGCAATCTGCCTTTTTTTTTTCTTTTTCTTTTGGTCAATGCATTAGTGGCCCCCTTCACTCCTGGCAACCAGCTGCCAGCATGAGATGGATTATTGTCCATTCAGTCTGTTGTAACTTCTACATTATAAATGCAGAGTATATTGAAATGTCCCCATGCAAAATGTGTTAAAATGTTTTAAGATTAGCTTGTACATAATTTGGTTCCTTGTTGTTTTACCAATGTGGCATCTGAATGTATAAATTCAGTCCATTGAAAAATATTGTACTTAAGGTGTAATCAGGTGAGACGAATGTTCTGAGAACCCACAGTCGCTGGGTTCATATAACACAACTACTCCTGAGCATGGATTGCATATTTAAAATATTGGCTGCGGCCACACTGTAGGGTAAATAATCCATGGTGGGCCATCATGTCATGTGAACAAGCCCAAGAAATCTGGTAAAGTTTAATCAGGAACAAATCTCCTTCAAGTCTCATGCTTGAGCTTATAAGCTGGAATAAACTAAATATACTTGCTAGCCGTATACTTTGCAAGTAGTATGCTTGAACTTCTACCTGATTGATTTATTTCTGGATAAGTACGTCAGTTTGCCACCTTGAACAGCAAGCTGGTGTGCCTATTCATGCTTTAATTATTATTATCATTATCGGCGACTAGTCTCCTGGTGCTTTTTATCCGTACATATAGAAATGTATGGATAAACAGAAAACAAAGGAGGGGTGATTAAAGCCCTCATTTGAACCAAAAAGAACACATTGAAGCATAAGAAATTGAAATTGCCTACAAAAGAAGGAATCTTGTGCAGATGAAATCATAGTCTCCAGGTGGAAACATGCATTTTCCAGACCACAAAGATGCTTTCCTCTGAAGTCACTAGCAACAAGCAGCACAGAGATACTTAATGTGACAGCAGTCATCCTCATAATACAGAATTTTAATTATAATAGCTGGGTTGTATGTTCATCTCTAGTAGTGTCCACAAGGCCAGAGTAACTAATTCAAGATAGAGTACCACCACTCTGCCAACAGGTTGTTAAGGTCTTCCAATCATTTGAGGATTTCAGTTGGTTCAGCTGCATCCAGGACCCTGCCACTATCGGTGACTTAGGTTTGTTATCAAAATCACTCTTATGTCCTTCAAATGCATCCTTGAATATGTTCTTCCCCAAACATATGATGCTTTGGGCCTGCTCTTCCAGTATCATAGTAACATAAGCAGAAGTTCTTCATTGTGATTTTTACCATTTTCTTTATTTCTTTAATTTATTTATTTAAACAACTTATATGCCGCCCCATCACATGAACCTCAGGGCAGCTTACAATCATTAAAATCCCATATAAAATACAAAAAATTCATCAGATAAATAAAATACAAAAAATAATAAAATAAAATAAAATATTGGATCCAGCCTGGTCAGTTTAAACCAACAAATAAACCATTAACAGTTAAAATAGCATTTAAATAAAAAGGTCTTGGCCTGGCACCGAAAAACAAATAAGGACGGCGCCAGGCAGACCTCTCTGGGGAGCGCATTCCATAGGTTGGGCGCCACAGCAGAGAAAGCCCTCCTCCGAGTGGCTTAATGATAGATATCAGCTAGATATCAGCTAGCCTTCTCTACCTTCCAGTGATGTGAAGGGGGCTGAGTCACTGTCAGAATAGAAGAAATACTTGGTCACCAGACTAGTCAGCATCAGTACATGAGGTAAGAGGGAGTGCCATTTTGTCATCAGCCACAGGCATCAAAACATCTTGGGCCAATGCTTTTAAGGAATGTCTTCAGGACTAATTTGAAAGGTGAATAATGTCTTCTGCTCACCAATTTAACTTGGAGAATGGAAACAATAACCTTGCTCTACCTGGCAATCTAATTGAACCTACAAATCTCTCCAAGCAGGATTTTGGTTTTTGCTTTTGTTTTCTAGCTCAGATCATAGTTCCAGGAGGAATACCTTTTTGGGGGAAAATGAATGGACAGTCCACAAGTTCTTGTACAAGTGCTTTTTACCCCTGCACCCAGTAGTAGCTTGGTGAAGAGAGTATTAAAACCACAGCTTTGCAAAGCAATTAATGTATTTTGTTTTGCCTTTATACTGAGCTACATAATTGAAATGAATATAACACTGTCTATTCTCCAGTAAAGCAGGTATCACTGGTGGAAACCTTTTCCTAAAGCCTTCTGATCTTTTCTGGAAGATTGGAGGACCCCCCAGAGAAGATTTGGAAGTCCATGGGCATTCAAGGAAGAGAGGAGGGTAAGGCCAATTGTACAAGTTGATGCCTACTCACATGAGATTGGATGAAGACCCTTGATGATATAGCTCTGTGATATATATGATATAGCTCATATTTTCTGTTGTGCATTTTTCATATCTAAGCATTTTTAAATACGTTTGTTTGATCCCTAAATTGCATCACCAGCGCAGATATTTCTACAGACTGATCACAGATGTTGTTTGGGTGTGCAGTTAGTTCTGGGAGATGCAAATTCAAAACACAAACAAACAAACAGTCAAAACCAAACTTCTATATCTCTAGCTGTAGTCTTAAATAAAAATTTAATTCAAATAATGATTTTAGAACACACCAACTTGAAGTATGGAGTACTCCAGTGTCATTTGAGCATAAGGAGGGTAGAATATTATAATCCCCCAATCCCCAAGTCTCCATAAAACTCTACTAGTATATGGTGAACGTGCTCATTCCATTCCATTCCATTCCATTCCAACACAATGACAACTCTAAAACACTAGCAATAATTTATAAATATGCTTTTAATGAAGATGTTTCAGAATAGATTCTGTTTCAAATGTAATTGGTGCTAAATTAAAAAACTGAAGGCACATATTTGTGTATCCATGTAGCAAAATTTGACACCCTTGTGTATACTCCAGGGAAATTGGGTCTTCCACAACCATAGCCCCAGCTAACAATGCCCGTCAGAAACCACTTGCCATCACCTTTCCTTCGACATGACAGGGGTCCTCCAGAATCTCCCTAAAGAGACATTAGTTTGACAAGTCAAAATGTTTTTTAACTTTTAAAACATTTATACCAATATTCTCATCGACAATATCATGTATATTGATATTCATAATGTTTTCTTACTTTAAAAAAAATCAACGTGGTGAATCAAGTAATTTAAATCTGAGATTGGTCAAACAAGAAGAAACAAAGAAAAACCCCATTGTACATTCAGTACAAACCCAGAGTTGATGTCAATTGCATGAAAGCAATCGATGCACATTTTTGATATGTAAATAGTAGCCCTAGGGGAGTCCAAGCTGCATCAGAACCATTGGGGTGGAAGGGATAGTTGAACCTCCTTTCCCTCCTTCATGTTTTTGACAAGACTCTCCTTCCACCTGTATTTTATATTGGGAGGTGCCTCTATTAACACCAGTGGAAGCTTTCCTCCCAATGCAAACAGGAATTAAAGCATAGGTTTTGGTCAGGATCTTCCCACCACTGCCATTCTCAGGCTGCTCAAGCTTCCCCTTGGCTGCTAACTGCGTAACAAAATGCATGTGGAACAAAATGCATTCACAGAATTAACATCCTGCGCTATTGCATAGCTGCCAGGCTTTCATGTATTTATTTGCACTTTTGATCTGCCCAGTTTTGTCTGGGTGAGTTGCAAAGATCAAAGAGTAATATTGTTATGCAAAAAATGAAGATCAACAACAAATGGCCCAGAAAAAATAAATGTAAACCACATAAATTCACCTGTTAAATCTAAAAATTAAAATGCTTGGAAGAAAAGAAAAGTTTTGAAAATATTACAATGTTGTTATCATAGCTTCTGTGTGGAGGACATCCCATGTCTGGGATGTCACAACTGAGAAGAACTTCTCTTCTAGCTAGGGTGACTGGATATTCTGTTTTACAGAGAACAGTCCTCTGTTTTGGTCAGCTTGCAAAGAACAGCCCTCTATTTGAAAGTATCCCCTATATGATGCCTGGTTTACATTGTTCCTAGTTGAGGCTAGCTGAAAATGTACCAATGCATGGCTACTCAGAAATAAATCACATTGCCTTCACTGGTGCTTACTTGTGCAAAGTCAGCACAGGAAATGAGCTACAAAGAACAACTAGCTGCAAATGTGCTGATACACCCATCTGCTCAGAAGTAAATCTCATTTTCTGCAAAAGCCATAACAGGAGAGGGGGACTAGCTTTGACTATCAGGAAGGAGTTGTGAATTATTTTTTCTTTAGATCTCAGCTCCTTCAGACCAGTGAACCTGTGCGTAGCCTAACAGATCTTAAATACATGCACATACAAAACTGAAAGGGCCATTTCCCTGCACACATACCTTTTCCAGTTCCTCCTGCTTTTCCTGCATGTGCATTTGTGTGTGCCACAAGATCATGCTTTCAACACAGTGGAAACTGCACTATTTACATTAGAGTGTGCACCAACAGTGGTAAAGGCATTTTGTATATTTACCAGGACAGCATGCCCTGATACACAGAAAGGGCTCTAGCACAGATTTCCTAGAAACCACCACCAGGTTTCTCAGCACAGATCTGAAGTTAGAAAGTGGTTGTACAAAAGAAACAACAAATATACAACAAATATTCAAAAGAGACACATAGAAGCACTTACTTTGCAGCTATCCCTTTTCCCAGACATCATCCCAGCGCATAGCATGCGGGCTGTGATAAGCCCATATGTTGAATGACACAGTGATTGATCAATAATTTCTACCTCTGCTTTCTGAAGGACTGCTGGCGCATCATCATCTGGAAAACACACACGCACAAAACAGGCAAGACGGGTTTTTTCTAATACCTTCTTATCTCTAATTCTAGGTCTAGACAATCATCTTAACAACATTAACTGCAGTTCTCAAATCAGGAAGTCCTGTACTGTCTTTACTGGTATTTTATTTATATCTGCAATTTAGTTGAGATTTCTCTGGGAATGTCTTCCAAGAAAGTACAATTACGACACTTAGCATTCACACAGTACTTTGGAGGGCTGCTTGGGTTAGATCCAGACAGTTGTAAATAAACTGAAATCAATGGGAATCATGACTAACTCAAGTTGCATTGCTTTTAGTGGGTCTGTTCTAAGTAGACTGTCTTAAGGCTACATTCAACCCATTGGTCTATTAATCCTGACATCTAATTTATTAGGAGAGTAAATATAATTCTTCCAATATTGCAGATAGGGGGTACTGAGGCACAATGTCTCCTAAAAGCAAGATCTGAACCTGGGATGCTCATTCTCAACTCAGTCTTGAGCTAGTAATCTCCACTGACTGTGCTTAGATTAGAAAGATCTTAAAATTAATATTTAATGCAGTTCTTAGGCACTCTTCAAGATCTTAGTCTCCTTGCAAGGCAGCTTAGAGCACAAAATACGTTTTCAACAGATAAACAAGCTGAGCCCAGCAATTCGCAGGAGTGGATATAAGAGCCACTGGATGCTATTCTGTTAGTGCCATCTTGGTGCATCACAATGACAGAAATCATAGTTAATACAATGCACTTTCTTGAATGAATTAGTGAAGCACTGGCTAGGAACGAGGGGAAAGGCAGGGGGCACTTGGAGAGTGTGGACTTACCAACTTCCTGCTTCTGTCCCCAGCCTGTCACCCAGCATTTTTCCCCAGTGGGAACTCTGTGTATGGTGGGAGGTAGGCATATTGGGTGAATTAACTTTCTCATTGTGTCAAGCCATGGAGAGCTTAGCTGTAGCAGGGCGATGTCATAGTCGTAATTTCGACTGTTATAGTATTCATGGACGATGATTCTTCTCAGGTTAGAGACAAATTTGGCTTTTCCTTGAGTGCGTATTCCCAAATGTGCTGTCCAGATTCTAGGATCTGATAACCTAATAGGAAGAAGATTAACAGCAACAAATATCCATGGCTGAACTACTGGAAATACCAAGGAACACTCTAGATTATGGTTTTTAAGTGAAATTTGAGGGGCCTTTTTAACTAGCTGAAGACACTAAACATGAATTGTCGAATGAAGGGAACACACAGCAACTGTCTTCCTCTGAGGCTGCACTCAGGTGTAAACTTATTTGGGTGAAAACCTCATTGGCCTCAGTGGGACTTAAGACATGGAAAATATGCAGCACTTGCACTGTAATAATTCCACAACAACTGTTTCATATTTAATTTCCTAAATGTATGCAGCTGAGTTCAGATTAAGTTAATAATTGATTTTAGTTCCTATTGAAATCATTGGGACAAATTAATTATGATTTGCCATTAATTTTAGTGGTAAGTTCAGTTAGCTTGGATCCAAATGATTACCTTTAAAAATATTATTTGTGCTATAAAACACAGTTGACCCTGGAGGAACTCTATTTATTTTGTCAGCTAAACTGTGAAGGTTTGAATATGTTGTTCAGCAAAACATACAACCACATAAGAGGGTTTTGAGGCTTTCTAGAGAATCCTTGCTTCACAGTCTGCCTTCTAAGCAAGGGTTGTAAAGGGGCACTGCTCTTTCTGTGTAGTTGACAAATGACAGTTCTATGGAACTTCCTGTGTCCCCAGTTCTGTAGAACACCCTGAATCAGTGGCTCCCAAGCTACAGGATGTCACAAGATACTTGAAGAGGAACATGAACTTCTAGAGAAGGGAGCATCGTGCACCAAACAGAGGCAGAAGTACTTTTCTCCCAGGAAAAATAATTTAGCACTGTAGCTGTGAACTTGCTATGCTGACTTTGGGAAGGTTCAGAGTGGCATTACTTACCCTGGGAGCTTCTTGCCATAGCCATTTCTCTTGCCTCTTGTCCTACTGGTTGGGTCTTCTAATGCTAGTACTGGAATTATGCTCCAGTCTACAGAGGTTCACCCAGCAGTGGCCTAGGCGTATGCCAGGGGTTGGCAACCTGCTGCCTTCCAGATGTTTTCAACTACATCTCCCATAAGTTCCAGTCTGCATAGGCAGTGGTGACGGATTTCAGTAGCCGTAGTTCAACTGGAGCACTCCAGGGTGCAAACTTCTAGGCTCCGTAGTAGTGTACAAAGATTCTGTGTGCTTTTGTGCCAAAAGATGGCAACAGACCAAAGAAGACATTACTTTAATGGCTTCTCTACCTGAGGCATTTATTGTGTGCTCATAATACCTTATCCTCCTAGAGGAGATCAACCCTGACTGCTCTTTAGAAGGCCAGATACTGAAGATGAAACTCAAATACTTTGGCCACCTAATGAGAAGGAAGGACTCCCTGGAGAAGAGCCTAATGCTGGGAACAATAGATGGCAAAAGAAGAAGGGGACGGCAGAGGATGAGGTGGCTAGATGGAGTCACTGAAGCAGTCGACGTGAGCTTAAGCGGACTCCGGGGGATGGTGGAGGACAGGAAGGCCTGGAGGAATGTTGTCCATGGGGTCACGATGGGTCGGACACAACTTTGCGACTAACAACACCAACAACAAAAATACCTCATCCACGGAGGTTTGCAGTGTTTTCATCCTCCATACCCTCTCCCATGATTTCCAGCCTTTTTCATGGATCTTTTTTATCATGACAAACCAGAACTAAAGCCAACTTCCTTGCTGCAAATCCATTTTACTGCAGCTATATCACACCACCATCTTATGGTTACTTAAAAACAAAAATATAACCCCCCACCCCTGGAAATAAATCACATATAAAGGATACATTTTTCCTCTCTCAGTAAAAATGGAAGAAACAGTGGGTTAAACATCTCATGTAGAGAAGCCCTAAGTCTGTGTCTAACATCTTATGTCTTTCATTTTTACTCTTGAATTGGTTCACAGGACTCTGTAGTGGTCAGGGATGCCATCTTTGTTGACTCTCCAAGGGCCTGTGTTATTGGATTCTAAAGAAGAAGACACTATGGAAGAGGTGATGCGGGGCAGGAGGACCAAACTGGGGCAGGAGATTCTTCAAGCTCCATCAATATTGTTGCCCACAGTTCTCCGGGTTGACTTTGAGAGCAGGCATGCATTGGAAGAGATAGGAGGGGACTCAGGAGATGAGGGGGAACCATTGCCTTACCCAGTCTCTGACCTCATGACAAGGTGTCAGGAGAGACAAGCTTGCATAGGTCTCAGCAAGCTCTCCACCAGCAAGAGCTACCCTAAGGGTGGAGTATGCAGTGTGAATGAAAGAAAAGATTGGAGGAGAAGTTTCCAGGTTTAGGTCGATATTTATTCACTCCTTACATGAGCAGAGGCTATTGTTCAGCTTGCCAGAGGACTTTAGAGCTGCATTGCTTTGTTAGCTGTGAAGTGCGAGTAAAGATCTGCATTGGAAAGGACCATCTGGTGTTGGGAGTCTCAGGCCAGAAAGAAAGGGTTGGGCTCACAACAGGCACAGTGCAAATCAGGATTCTAGTGTTGGGGATTGGTGGAGGTTTCAATATTGGATTGGGGCCCTACATCTACCCTAGAGGAAAAGAAAAGGCATAGCAACTAGACACTGATTTGAGGTGATGTCTATTTTAGCTCCAGATCTTTGATGGATGTTTTAGCTCCATGATAGATGTTTGGAGACTACTTTCATTAATCAGCAGTGTATTGATTTGGATTGGATGGTAGGGTGCCCAAGTGTTCTTCATAACAAAGTACAGTCCTTTATTTTGGAGAGCACACCATTTGTTATTTGAAGGTGTCCTCTGTTTAAGGGCCTGTCTAGTCCAAGTCTGGTCGAAATTCAAAGGACCATCAGAAGAAAGAGCTGCTGTTACTTGTCAACTTAGCACCTGAACAGCAGACTGAGCAAGGAACACGGGTCAGCTGGTCAGTCTTTTCTATTTTGCTTACATGTATTTCTATTTAAAATATAGTCAATATTTCTGAATTTGCAAGTTAATATCCCCTTTTGAAGACTCTGAGCCTTGGGGCTTCACCAAAGCCTTTTGGGCTGTAGAAGACTATCCTCATCTCATCTTGCAGAACCCTTCACTTTTTCTTCTCTCTATTGCAGCTCCCTGTATGAGCACAGCATGCAAAAATAGCAGGGGTGCCAGGTTGTACTGAGCAAGACAAATGGGCCATAAGCCGCAGGCAGGGGGCTGCCATGGGTAGATAAGGATGGATGCATTGTTGAAATGTCAAGAACAAAGTGATCTTATGCACTGGCCCTTAGCAAGCTCATATGAGGTCAAGCCTTTTTTAATTGGGTATTGGAAATATCATACTTGCATTTTGTGATTAAACAATACAACCTAATGGAGAAACAATGAATTCATTGTTTGCTGCCTCTCTATCATGCCCATGGCACTATATTAGAGTCAGAAGAGGAGGAAATGTTCTGGATGAATGGTACTTTAACTACTCACCTGTTCCCCTGAAAACAGTGAGCAGCAGAAAGAAGCCACTCTTCTGATATCACTGAGGCCCCACAGTAAGCAACTCCAGCAAAATGGAGGCTGACTTGCCAGGGCCATTCACCTTCCTGTGTTTCTGAACCTCCCACAATCCGGTGGTGTGCACTGTTATATTTAGTACTTCCACATCCTTTGAAAAGAATTGTGACAGTTCATCTTTTTTTTTCTTGCAACAGCAAGCATGATTAGACACAGATATTCCACTAACACAGATTTAAAGTAACAATAATTTAAATAGTAGACAGAGCAATCCTATGGCCTTTAGACGGCATGTAGGAGTCCATTGGATCATATGGATTCCCAGAACCCAGACTCTTCACTCAGGTCCCACTTCTTTCACCCCTCACATCCAGCACAGAAGGAACTACAATGGCTGTGTCTCTAAGGATTGACTAACGCTGGAAAGGGGGCATGGAAGTGTTTAGGAGTTGGGAAGTGGGGAGAGCAGGGATGCCAGGATATGGCATATCCTGGTGATGATTCACCATCTTTTCCTCCCCATCCAAAGCCTTGCAGCTAGGGGCAGGCAGGCACATATGGAAGGGTCCAGTCACCTCTCTCTTACATGAACCTATTTCTGACTAGCATTTCAGCCCACATAGCTTAAATATATTGCTAATGTCATCAAATATCTCCAGAACATTACCAGGACTGAAACCATCACTTAGGACAGAATTCTATGCATGTTTAGGCAAGGTACTAAAACTCCCAGTATTTTGTAGTCAACATACATAGGAATGCTCTTTGAAAGGCAAGGTAGCCATCCAGTTACAAATTGTTACTTGATGGACAAGCCCACCAAGTATATGTGTTAATGCACATGTGCGTGATGGATGTTCGAAAAAGAAAATGATGAGGTCTGGACTAATCAGCATGGACTTTTTTGACCCCCAATGTGTTTGGTGGGGCTTAACATCCAGATAAGTATTTTCAGGATTGAAAGCTGCCTAAAAATTGAAAGCAAACTTACCACAATTTCTTTCATCGCTGTGATCCAGGCAGTCAATGATCCCATCACATCTTGCATTTTTCTTCTGGAAGCAAATGTTATTGCTACACTTAAAGGTATTGTTGGTACAGGGAACACCTGAAAGAGAACAACCAATGATAATATGCATAGCAACTGAAAGAAAGGAAACATACTTATTTTGCCTGGCTATTTGTTCAAAGAAAGAGGGTAACCATCAGAAGACTACACATAAATGAGTGCAGACTCCTTTGGTGCACAGGGCATGCTAGCAAATGGATACTATGTTAATGCTAAACTAGTTATATTAGTACATATATAGCTTTAGCTTCAGAGTGATTTGGACAAATAAACATGTTTACTTATGAATGACACTTTTGAGCCAGCTCTTAGACTACTATCCAATAGTAGAGAACAGGAAGCTTCTACTAAACTAAATTTACCTATATCTCAGATTTAGCTAAATTTCACTAAACTAAAATTAACCAAATATTCCTGTGAAATTAATTTTTAAATAAGTATAATCAAAGGCTACTAAAAACCTCTGAAAGAATTTCACCACTGCTGAAGATACTGACATTGTTTGATTAAAATAAAAGGTCACTTAAGACAAAATGCTACCCACTCAGTTATTATTCCTATGATACATTACTTCATGCACTAGAGCCAGGGACAATGAGAAAGATTAAGGAAAAGAAATCAGAGCTAAAAATATTTGATGAATGTGAGCTGGTAATAAGTCCAGATTGTTCCTAAACACCGTAATTATATCAATATCTCTTTCGATAGATAGATAGATAGATAGATCAATTGATAAATAGAGAAATACATGAAAGAGGATCAAAAGAGATGTACAAATGTTAATAGCCTTGTGGGGTAGATTAATATTATTATTGCCATATTGCGGAGGCCACAGGAATGTCTTGACAAATGCCACCTAGTGAATTCCTGGCTGGGACAAGATTTGAATGGAAGATTCCCAAGGTTAGACTCAGCAGTTACACAGCCCAACATGAGACACTTAGGAGTACTGTTATCTAGTTGCATATTTAGGAGATTCACTTTCAGTGCAGTGTTGCTCATCTTGACCATCTTCACAGTCCTTTATTCCATCGCAGAAAATGAAATGGTGCTGGGTTAAGAAGCTGGTGTTACAGTTTTGTTTGGGCATATCTAAAACAAGGAGAAAAGAAGCAGCGCATTACTTAGAGGAGTCACAGTAAAGGGTAGTCTTAAAGTAGGAGTGGGTAATGAGAATGAGGTGGGGAGAATGGCCTGCCATTCATTCCTCCACAGGGCAAATGACATTGGGCTCATGACCATGCTTCACACCCTAGTAGACATATCAGGAAGATCATCTCTCCACATGTCCTTGGCGAATTTCCTTAAGCACATGCAGGCCCTCTCCTTTCAGAGAAGGTCTGAGCACAGCACTTCCCATGCCCTGCAACCTTCTCCCACTACCAGGCATATCACTACACATCATGAGTCTTCTCCCACCAGAGAAGGTTTCCATGCAGCAAAGATGCTTTGCTTGTCTTTTGCCTTCTTGTGCTGGGGAGATGATGCAGAGCAGGTGAAGCTGCTGCATCATCAATCTCCTTGTTATCTCCAGTCTGTGAGCAGACATAAGAAGGGTGGTCACCTTTCTTAATTTGGAGGGGGAGCAGTGTGCAAAGGAATCGTCTTGCTAGTTCCAATCACAGACAGAGATATTTTAAAAAATCTCACACACACCCCAAAGCAACTGGTAAAAGCAGAACTTGTGGGTAGGGGAGGGAAGAGAAAAAGAAGAAGAGGAGAAAGGTGGAGCTTTTGCAGGCCAGATGGACAACTAGCCCACAGGCTGGAGGTTGCCTTCCCCTTCCTTGAAGAAGCATTATTGTATTTGCTGCAGCCTGCAGGTACTTAACCACAAAAGAGCTCATCACTTTCATCAAAGCAGTCATTGATTCCATTGCAGCGCTGAGTTTGTTGGACGCATAAGCCAGTGTTGCATTCAAAAGAACCAGGTGGACAAGCTAAAGACCAGAAAGAGAAGAGCACCATCTTTTAGCTTTCAAAGCAAATCTGCTGTGCTGAAGTTGCTATGGCAAAAGATAAAGGATCTACTAAAAAGTTCTCCCGAACCTTATTAATGCTCTTATCCTGTCCCTAGTCATTTCAAAAGAACAGGAGAACTTCCTGAAAGATGAAACACTTTATTAAAATACTTTATTTCAAAACTGGAAACACACACACATGGACTCACGCATGTATGTACTCATCAGGATAACAAGATTCTGGGACAAGTTGGAACTTACAGACTACCAGAGGTAATATTCAATGGGTACATTTGAATTGGATGTTTTCCTCATTGTATCTTTTAGAACACAATGGAAAGATTTGACAGATCAGAGTGTTCGGGGGACACAGGACCATGAATATTGGCTGCACCTCCCAATATATGCCAGCCCCAACTGCTCCATGTTCAGCAAATGGGCATAAAGGTAGCTTCTACTCATGTTCACATGGACCTCCTACTCATGTTTATCTTTCTATGACAGCAGAAATCCTGATAAAGCAGAGGAACTGATTGAATGGAGACAAATGAATTGTCACATTTAAATAAATGCAAGTATAATCTTGTTGCCCCTTAGACCTTGCCACTGAACCTGAGAAGAATGGGAATAGGGAGGAAAATGTTGGGGATGGCTCCAGCATGGAAAATTCTTTACTATTATGATCCTCAGTCCATGAGCCTTACAGTGTGCAGCAGAGGCTTCTAATGATATCAAGGGATAGGCTAATTCCCCAAGGGTAGAACAATCCGTGCCTTATGCAGGGCCCCTCTGGCCTGTTATTCTCTGGCAGAATGCCTATCTTCCCAGCCTTGCAGATATCATAGGCTACAATATCATGCTAGGGCCCTTTATTGATCCAGTCAGCTCTCCATGCTACAGCGGTTGGTTTTAGCTCTTTGCTGAGACCACATCCTTCTATTTGCCCTAGTAGGGGAGAGTTCTGTTCAGCAGGACTCATATGGTGCTATCACAAGTCATACTCATCAGATGCAACACCATTGCAGATCCTTTAATCACAGCCACAACATGCTCATATAACTGAATAACACATAATAACAATTAGACAGAAAATAGAAAAAAGAATGATATCATTCATTCATTCTTTATGGCTATAACTAGTGTGTGTGGGGGGGAGGATGTGATGGCACAGTGGTTTAAACTGCTGGGCTAGTTGATCAAAAGGTAGACAGTTCAATGGGGTGAGCTCCCATTGCTCTGTCTCAGCTCCTGCCAACCTTGCAGTTCGAAAGCATACAAGTGCAGTAGATAAATAGGTTCCATTTTGGTGAGAAGGTAGCAGCATTCCATGCACCTCTATGTTTAGTCATGCCGGCCACATGACCACAGAAACGGCCTGCGTACAAACGCTGGCTCCCTTGGCTAGGAAACGGAGATGAGCACCGCCCCCAAGAGTCAGACATGACTGGACTTTAATGTCACAGGGAAACCTTTACCTATTATTCATTATGAATCTATATTTTCATGGCTGCTACCATGCATAAACCAAAACTCTGCCATGTACCAAAGAAACTTAGAGTTCTTACGTTGGCTAATGTTGTAGCTTCCATATTCCACAAGAAGTGGCTTCTCTGAAAGCTTGGAGCTACATTGAAACTCAATGTTAACCACAAAGCTTGCTGCACGGAATATTGTTTGATGATCAATGTAATATCCACAGTACCTACAAGAACAAAGTGTGTTAACTTGGAGTGTGGAGAATCTTCCATCACCAGGTGGGCACTGATAGCCTTAGCAAAATTTTAGTTGTCCTATACAGATCAGAGCTCCATATGTTTATTTGTGAATAAGAAATCAGTGAGAAGGTCAAACTGCTCTTTGACCTGGTTCTCATGTAACTCATGTCAACAGCAGGCATGAGTGGGTAAACACCTTAACTTTAGCAAGCTTTTCATTCCCACTGTCTGTAAACATTCTGTAATCACTAGGTTATGTGAAATCCTAACCTAGCCATGTGTGGTTGTTTGAAGGTTAAATCATAGAATAGTAGAATTGGAAAGGGTGACAAAGACCATCAGATCTAACACATTGTTCGGTGCAGGACTCCGAATCAGTCATCGCTCTCTGATAGCCGTCTAGTGGTATCTTGAATGCCTCTAGTGTGGGAGAACACACAACCTCCTGAAGTAATTGGTTCCATTGTCAGATTGCCCTAACAGTCAGGAAGTTCTTTCTGATGTTCAGCTGGAACATCACTTCCTGTAACTTCAGCTTGTTATTCTGCTCTCTGGGATGATTGAGAAGAGATCCTGGCCTTCCTCTTTAAGACAACCTTATAGGTACTTGAAGAGTGCCATCATATCTCCTCTCAGTCTTCTCTTCTCAAGGCTAAACATGCCTAGTTCTATCCTTATATGGCTTTGTTCCCAGTCCCTGGATCACCCTTGTTTCCCTCCTCTGAACTTTTTCAGTTTGTCAGCATCATTCTTTAACTGTGGTGCCCAGAACTGGATACAGTACCTAACCAGTGCTAAGTGGAGGAAAACTAGTGCTTCATATGATTTGGAAATGATACATGTATTAATGTAATGCAAAAGACAACTATCTTTACTTTTTTTGTAGCCACATCCTTGAGAAAGGCAGTGCTAGTGAACAGGAGAGCTAGATAGCATACATTCATTTACTTACATACGCTCATTAATTTTCCACCATCCATGCTCACAGCCTTTAATGCTCTTTTCACTGATGGTGTAGTTATGAAACTTCAGTGCTATGCCAAGGGTCTTCTGGGGAGTCTTTTTTTGGGGGAAAAAAGATACATTGAATGAGGACAATTCAAATTCCCAACTCAAACTGTGATTTTTAAAATACTTGCTAGGTTTTAATTATAATTAAACTGCATTCATAACCCACTTCTTATTGCAAGAAACCCAGTGCGTCTTACAAGTTTCTCCTCTCCATTTTATCCTCCCAAACCACAACCCAGTAAGGTAGATTCAGATGAGAGTCTGTGACTGGCCCAAGGTCATCCAGTGGGCTTCATGGCTGAGTAGAATCAGATCCCAGATCCCCTGGTCCAGTATTCTAACCACCACACTACACTGGCACAGTGTTTCATTCATTTTAGAGAGGGTTTATCTGAATGTAGATGTAAGTAGGTGACGTTCCATCTGAGGTGGGCAAAACCATAAGAGGTATGTATTATGGTTTGCTGCAGTGTATGGAGTGAAGTGCTAAATGTTTTCTTCTCTGGTGCAGCCACCCATACACGAATTACAGCTTCAATATCTCTTGAGAAGGAAAGTCCCATACTAAAGATAGGAAAAAATGTACCCATTTGGGTTTTCTCCCCATTTTCATTTTTCCAGCCTTAAGTTTATTCTATTCCATTTCCACAGCAGATGGCCAAAAAAAAAAAAAATTATATCTTTACACATATGTAGCACATGCATACGCAAGTTCTGCCCAGTTTTGTCTACTATATCCATTCCTTGCAAATATTGCATTTTGGTATACTATATTTATTTTAAAAGCCTATTTTGTGCACATATTTTTCCAGCATCCAGATTTTTGCATGCAAATTTTGACTGCAGAACTGTGCTGCGAGATTCAGAGAAGCATATTGGTTTAGGCAGGACAAATTCAATCTGTTACCTAAACATCCAAACTGGACCATTCCCCCCACACCCCCCATATACAATTCTAAGACTTTCCTTGCCTGTCTCTTCCGACCCGAGTGGCCACATCCAGTTTCAGTACAACTAGATGTAAGAGGAAGGGCTCCCCAATGTGAGAGCTGTCCAGCACCTTGCTGGTTCAGAAGTGACCCCAATATGTACACATTGCATCAGGAGTGTCTGCTTTCTGTGGGCCAGACTACAAAGGGAGACAGTGGTTGCCACAGCTCTGCTGCCAGCGCATGAGAGCCAGGGGAAAGAGGTCAGGCTGGCAGAGGCTAAGAGCAGGTGCAGCATTCCACCCCCACACAAGGAAGCCTTTCATCTCCCAGTGCAGCTACTTGACCAAAAAGAAAGAGGGAAGAGACATTCAAGCCATGTACGGAGATCAAAGAACTCCGAGATGTGCAACTTCATCTCACCAAAGTGAGAGACAGGCAGCGTTGTTTCCAGCTGATACCAGGCCAACTAAAACGCCTTCATAGGATTTAAGATTACCTGAAAAGTCCACGTACAAATGCATTTTGGAGGGTAGTAGCTTGGGTAATATGGACTCACAATTCGCCCTTCAAACCCAGTGCTTCCTAACGTCAGTATAGCTTTGCCACATTCTGTCGAAAGAGAGATGCCTTGTTGTCATTATTATCACACCATCTGGAAACCTCCCAATGAGGTTTTAATTGCACCATCCTCTTGGCTCATCCATGCAATTTTACATAGGGCCCACTCCAGATAATACTGTCTTCCAGTGCTTTTTTTGTAAAAGAAAATAAAAGGTGCTGGAACTCATGTCTTGTTAATCTTTTATTAAAAAAAAATATTCAATTCACCAACTTTTTTTGAAATAAAGAACTTATTTACCTTTTGCACGTAGCCAGTCTGTAGAGTGACTGTAGAGTACCCACATAAACATAATGGTCGCCGCCAGCAGTAAGCACTCAGCGCACGACCACACGACCAATCCCAAGCCGAGCAGCATCCCAAGCTGAGCAGTGCCCTCACAACCAGCGCGGACACACAAGCAGCCTGCATGCACTATTTTAATGATTTTTGCCGCCGACCTGCTACGCCCGACAGGGCGATTCAAAATCACTTGGAAAAGTCCCTTGGAAAAATCCGTCAAAAAACGGTGCTGGAACGCTGTTCCGGTGCGTTCCATGACAAAAAAGCCCTGCTGTCTTCTATTCATAACCCTCCTGTGTTATCCTTGCTGCTTTGTCCATCTTTTTTCTTATTGGAAAACTCTACTAAGCAGAGAAAGATTGAGTGGGTGTGCAGTGGCTTCTGATTACAAATGCTAGGAGCCCTCTGTCTGGAAGCATCCCATGTATCAGCCACGAGTAGAAGAGACATCCGTGTTGCTCTAAATGTGTAACTTAGTCATATAAATGTCTTATCAGGTATTAATCCCACTGAGCAAAATAGTACTTATTGTTAGAGAAGTGAGTACAGGATCACAGCTTATGTAACTAATTCATTTTTAGAATTTATATCCTTTTTCTTTGCATAGCTTTCCATTTGGTGAACACTGTGAATAAACTGAAAGAAGAAAGCATGATAATAAAGAATAGTGATAAAGGCCACAAATACTGACAGAGCTAGTGGTGGCACAAGGTTAAAGGGACAGGCTAGGACTCTGGAGATCCAGGTCCTAGGCCCTGACTGGCCATGAAGCACATTGGGTGACTTTGGATCACTCACGGACTCTATGCAGAAGCACCCCACAAAGTTCTTGGTGGCATAAAATGGAAAGGAGGAGGATCACCTAAGCCACCTTGGGGTCTTTGTAAGAAGAAGAAAGCTAGGACTGGAAAGTAATATCTAAATGCAACGAAATCAATAGGCACTGGTCAGGAGCATTAAAGCAAGGGAGAAATGGGTGTGAGGAGGCAGAGAGCTAAATGGCCTAATTAAATACCATCAAAAGCCTGAAAAAGCAGAACAGACTTCAGCCTGGTGCATAAAAAAGCAGTGAAAGCTTCAGGCGCACACACTAAGAAAGAGAGTTTTATACTTTGGGTGCCAGCATGGAAAAGTTCCTGTCTCAAGTGGCTCCCTGCCTAACCTCAGGAGACAGGGGAGCCTTGAAAAGGGCCTCTGATAAAAACTTTACAGACTTCAGCACTGCAGCAAAAGCCTGGTGCAGCAGATGAAAAACAGTTTGCAGTTAATTCCTTTAGGGAAGAAATGGCTTGTGAATATTTCTAAATGTGCATGTAGATATATAGATTAGCACACAGAGATTGTATGCAAAAATGTTTTCTTTTCATTCATTCATTATTTATGTATTCATTTATTAAAAGCTTTTTATAAACCATCCTCTACAAGTGGCTTGGGAAAGTTTTACAATAAAAGCAAGACAAAATAAAATAAAATAGCACAGCATCCAATTCCAATAAATAAAATCCACCTTAAAAACAATTAAACATTAAAATAATGGGAAAATAAAAAGGGTTTCACCCATGGTGTGTAAATGGTCAAATCTGTTGAATTTAAAAGTAGTGTCTCAGGTACTATTCAAGGTGAAAACTCTTGGGTTAAATGCTCCTGCCAGGCTTTTCTTCCAACTTACTGGATCTCTGTCAGAAGACAATTATACTTTTGTATAAAGCCCCTTTATTTTAACAGGATTTTCTGGAGAGGGGACAGTCCCCTCTCCAGGGCAGAAACCTACAATGTAAGGGCAGAAACCTACAAGATCACGTCTTTTTCAGAGGTGTACACTGTTCCTGTTAGACTAATAAGCCCAGCTTGTAAGAGGTTTATATCCAAGTGTTTCAGATGCATCTTTCCATATGTATGGAAAATATTGAAGAAAATAATAAAATTGGAATTTGGCTGGGTTGCAACAGGTTTTAAAACAAAGAAAGAACCCTCCAATAATGCAGGAAGTATACCCAAATGGCTGGGAAGAGGGTGTTCATTAAAGAGAGAAAAAATTTAAATGTACTACAAGGGACCATTAAAGAGACACTGAAAAAGTCAACAGAAAAAATGGATACTTTGTTCCAGCTACATAAACCCTTTCTGTCTTCTGAATTGTCCTCCACCCGCCAGCATATCCAGAACGAGTTTATTACCATGAAACTGCAACTAGCATGTTGAACTATAAACACACCCACACACACATGCATTCATGCTCTCACGCACGCATGCACGCGTTTTAAAACAACTTAAGTGCTGTGTGTCTATGGCAACTGCTCCATCTACTGGTATAACAGAGCATAAAGTGTACTGCCTGTTATGTAAAGGCAGAAATGATAGCAGATCTGTCATAGTTAGGCTGTCTCAAAGTATGTTCCACTCCCAATGACTGTATTCCATGATCTGAGACATGCACCCCAGTATCCCTCACTGTATCACAGAGGATACTAGGATGTACTTCTTGGGCCATGCATTGATTCACTGGCATCCAAATGCACTGCCATTCCGTACAATTACTTGGATTCTTATGCAGTCAGACTAGTACTCGGTACATGGAGAAACATTTTCTTCAGCTATGGAAAGAGTTGGTGATAGAAAAGCTGAGGAGAAAGAAAATTAAAACAGGGCAGCATGCTTTGTTCAAGGAAACACTATTTTCAAACCTAGCCCCTAACTAAGGGTACAATCCTATGGATGTTTAGACAGGGATAAAAACCCTGTAAGTCCCTGCATTCCCCAAAAAGCAAATAATGACTAAATTTTGGGTAGAGTTTCCACAATTTTAAAATGGAAACACTTACTTTCTTGTGGAATGACCTCGAAGTAGCTATGAAATTCCTTCACTTTTCTTGTTTGTGCGGACTTCAATGTGACCAGCATCAGATTATTTGTAGAAACGAAAGACAGGAATGCATTCGTTGGTTCACAAATTCTGAAACAAATTGATTTCCCCCCCATAAATAGAGTAAAAAAATAGTGACTCATTGCCAGACTTGCTCCTTTTGTTGGCTATAATTGTTTTTGTAATTGCTTAAGCATTGTGCTAGTAAATCAAAACATTTCAAAACAACAGGTTACCATTTGTCTCTTTGCAGAATTTACTGCTGCTTAAATAACTGAGTAGCAGATAGAAAGATGTCAATTTTGGCAATTTTACCAGATACATCCCAGTAATGAATCAGGCAAGATGATATGATTGTTTTACTTGATTAATATGGGAATCTTATCCATTGTGGGATATACATGTAAATATAGTTCAAAATAGCTGTGATGAATTCCCTCTTTCAATTCACTGTGAATTCTGAAAGATATAGAATCCCATTCCCATTCTAATGAAAGTAGATTATTAGTAAATGATTATGTTTCATCAGCAGTAATTGTTCTACTGAAGTTTCCATTGAGAGTCAAGATGGAGTACTTTACTTTAAAGAGGTTGACTATTAGAAATAGAGGAAACTTCACAAATGCCTTGGGGTGCACTGCTATACATGTTTAGAAAGAAAAAAAGCCCTACAACTCCTGGTATTTTCCCAGCCCTGGTATTTTGCTTGTAATCATTTAAAGAAAAGGTTTCCACATGTCTGCTGGGAAAGGGTGAATTGTGTGTGTTTAGAGAAGTTTTCCTGATGTATTGTTTCACGATAGAGTTTTCAAAGAATTTGTACTCAAAAGGCATACCTACCGATACAGTATCTTACTTTTGATTGGCATCAGGGAGTCATATATGGTAAAAGAATCTGTGATGCAGTTATCTGCTTCCATCTGAATGGATGCTACGGAGAGGCGAATTAGGTACCCAACCAGTGCAATTAGTTTATAATAGCAGATCAATCTCTCTGATGTTGTTGAAATTTTCAGTGGAAATTGTTGATACAGCTGATCTGCATGTAGATCGTAGATGCAATTTGTCCCTGCAGAAATAGGCCATTTCAAACACGAGTCAGTGTCACTGGAATGATTATGCTCACAAAAAAGGCAGGATTCAAGGAAATAACCCTTCCCTTTCCTGTTAAACTACAATTGCATTGATAAGTGAACCATTCACAATTGGCTTCAGGAAGTTCTATATGTTCCAAATCATTATAGGTTTGTTAATATGTAGGGACAGCAGCTAACATGACAGAAGGAGAGAGACAGAGAGATGAGATTGAGATAGATTGAAATTGAGAGAAGTAAAGTGTATACAGGAGCCAAGGAACAAAAGAAGTTGTCTGGGGACAGAGAGTAGAAAAAGGAGCTTCTAACCTTCATGCAATTATGAAAGGGCCATACCTCAGTAGGTGAGCACTTGCTTTGCATCCAGAAAGTTCTGGTTTCAGCCTTTGGGCTAAGGAGTACACTTATTCACAAATCAGTCTAAAAGTTTGGCGAGAGGTGATGGAGATGCTAGTAGTTTCAGGAGAAGCTGCCTTATACCAGGTTAGACCATTGGCTTTCAGACCTCTTGAAACACTTTCAGTTGTTTGTTTGTACATAATAATATGTAATAATATTGCATAATCATTAATAATAATAATAATAATAGCAGCAAAGAAAAATTAGGGGGGCAGGGCCTCCCCCAGCCTATGGGTCTGGAATGCAAGAGCCAATCCCACAATCTGGATCAGGACTTGTGCACACAGGGAGAGGAGGTTTAAAGCCCAGGCCACCAGCTCTCTGCAATTTCGCAAATTGTATGTTTGTAAAAAAGGAAATATCTTTTTAAATCATAAGCCTCCAGTGCTCTCTCCTGAAAAACAAGGCAAAACCTGAGTAGTGCTGTCCCCAGAATTTCTCATGTCTTGGAGATGTGGAGAATGTTTATCAACATGGGGTGGTTGTAATAATCACTCCTTATGAATTGTTCTGAACACTCAAAACACTGTGCAGTTGTTGCTACCTATGTTTATTAAATGTTTATTAAAGTACGCAGAGACACATTCTACATTAAGCCCTGTTTAAAACTCGCATTCTAGAAGCTGAATTTTCAACCTGAATTCAGTTCCTGTCTCAGAATATACATTTGCCAATAAGAAAAAAGCGTTGTTCTAGGCAAGGTCAGTAACATTACCTGTGCCTGTTGTTGAAGAGTAATCTGATCGCAGCCCAACTGCATTGGAGAAGAAGTACAAATGAATCTGTACATATTTGCAAGAAATTGGCAGCAAGTGCCCTATATTAATAAACATTCTTGTTTACATTATTATTATTATATTGCATTTATATCCTGCTATTTTCCTCTTGTGAAGAACCCAAGGTGGCTTCCATAGCTCCATTTTTATCCTCACAGCAACTACCCTGTGAGGTAGGTTATGCTGAGAGTCTGTGACTAGTCTAAAGTCACCCACATAGGAATCAAATGATTGATTCTGAACTTCAGAATAAAAGCCAATTTACATCACAATATTTGTCATCAAAAATTATTCAAAAAGTCTATTCTCACATTACAATACACATACATAAGCCTGGTTCACACAGCATTCTAGGTCAAAGTGTGGTTTGTTGAAAGCATGGCTTGTTGAGTGTGAAAACTGGCAAGCAAACCATGGTTGGCTAACTAGCTAAAAGCCACATACAGAACCCATGGTGTCAGCTTATGAACTCTGCATTGTTTAAATTGTCACTTATTGTAATGGCCAAATCTAGAACAATGGCATACCCCTGGTTCATTGTGCCAATGTCTTTCCTGAAACAGAGCACCTAACAAAAGCAGGCTGAAAATGAAATTGCTCTCAAGAAAGACAAATTGGGCAGTAGATAAACAAACCAGGCATAAAGAAAACAAGCCATAGTGGGTTAGTCATCTGCAAGACAAGTCATGACAAATCAATAAAGTGTGGGTAACATATACCATAAATAACAATTACATATGAATGCAGCTGTAAAGAAAGCTATGAGGTCATGCCATCTGGTCAAACTCAAGATGTCAAGTGTGAAAGTGTGATGTGTGAAAGATACATTTCTCAGGGCTTTGATATCTGATGACACTCAGAATAAATAATACTGGTCAAATAGTTTGACCTGAAAAGCAGTTTCCTTTCTGAATGTCCCATCACAAGCATGTCCTTACATAGGAACATTATCAAAAACAAAGCTTAGGTCCCTGAGTTCTAAGCTGTGAACTGATCCATCTTAAAGGTAAACTGAAATGTAAGGACCATTAGAGAAAGGTTAGGTAAGTACAGAAGTGGCATAACATCATAATATCTTTTAAGTCTCAATCAAGCAACCTTTTCTTGGGTACAAAATTTACACTACTTTAGAGATATGGTTGTGCAACTGTTAAGGGTGGTGGTTATTCTAATTAGCATACTTATAGGTTGTATACAAAGGTTACCATCCTTTAGAAAAAATAACTTATTGTGGAGGGAGATCTTCCATCAGAGGAAGGAATCATTTGAATGTGATCCATATAACATTACTGATTTAATAGAAATACCAACCACTGAGCACAATGGAATCCATATCAACAGCAAGGCCTTGAAGACTCCCTACTGAAGTTCGATTGGTGATGCTAGTTTGAATTGAATCCTTTAAAATAGCAGCTATACAGTCTTCACAAAATACTTGACCTTTAGCCTGTGGCACCACGAACACAATCCAGAAATGGACAAGAAGTCCCCCATTGTTGTTTGTACTGAAATCAGATACAAAAGCATATTATGTCATTGTTTTTCTTAGATACTTCATTTTTAAGGTACTGGAAAGATTTTTTAATTCCTATTTTTAGGAATGACAGTGCTTTCTGTGATGGAATTCAGTCATGTCTTATATGATATTTTTTTCGGTTTTCAACAACTCTGTACATATATTACTATTATTATTATTATTATTATTATTATTATTATTATTATTAACATTTCCATGCCGCCCCTTGCCGAAACCTCGGGGCGGCTTACAACATGATAAAATACATTGAAATACAATAGTACATAATAAATTACCATTAAATATAAAAATACAAAAAATACATTGATTTACAAATATAAAATTAAAATTATCAGTATAAAATAAAAATATAGGAGGAGAAAGAGAAGGAAGAAGAAGTTGCCCTGGCCAGATCATATGTTTTAACAATTGAAATGATGTTTAAATAAAAAGGTCTTTACCTGGCGCCGAAAAACCAGTAACGACGGTGCCAGGCGGATCTCTTTGGGGAGTGAATTCCATAGGTTGGGCGCCACTGCAGAGAAAGCCCTCCTCCGGGTACTTACTCTCCTAATTTCTTTCATGGAGGGTTCCCGGAGAAGGGACTCTCCCGCAGATCTCAAAGGGCGGTCGGGCATATACGGACGTAAGCGCTCGTTCAGGTAGCCAGGACCCAAGCCGTTTAGGGCTTTGTAGGTCATAATCAACACCTTGAATTGGGCCCGGGCTTCAATGGGAAGCCAGTGAAGCTGACGGAGGACTGGAGTCATGTGAGCATAACGCCCCGTCCCCGTCAGCAACCTGGCAGCTCTATTTTGCACCAATTGAAGTGTTCGGACTGTCTTCAGGGGAAGCCCCACGTAAAGCGCGTTACAGAAGTCTAGGCAGGAAGTCACCAGCGCGTGTGTCACCGTCGCCAGGCAGTCGTACTCCAGGTAGGGGCACAGCTGATTAATCAGCCGAAGCTGAAGGAAGGCGTTCCTCGCTACCGCTGTCACCTGAGCTTCCAAAGAAAGCTCCGGGTCGAGGAGTACTCCTAAGCTGTGGACCTTATCCCTAAGAGGGAGTGTTGCACCATTCAGGACCAGGTCAAATCCACCCTTTCCGAAACCCGATCCGCCAACAGGACCTCCGTCTTGTCTGGGTTGAGTTTCAGTTTATTGGCCCTCATCCATTCTCTTACCTCGGCCAAGCACCAGTTCAGCACAGCCACTGCCTCACCTGGATTAGTGGAGAACGAGAGGTAAAGCTGGGTATCATCAGCGTATTGATGATTCCGCAGCCCACACCTCCTGATGACCTCTCCCAGCGGTTTCATATAGATGTTAAATAGCAGAGGGGATAGAATGGAGCCCGTATAAGTAGTAAAGGCTTAAAAATGACATTATATCTCCCACAAGCCACAAAAATAACCCAAAGCATATCCTACCTAACATCTGAGACAATGGACTGTTTATAAAATTTGGAGAAAGTAGATTTAGTATATACCAGATTCATCTGAAAGAGAAAATTCACAAAATTATTCATCACAGTTCTGCAGAGACTAGCATTAAAATTAATCTTACTGCAATGTGTCTTGGCTGCATGTGTAGTTAGACGCTTTAGAAATGTGCTTTCACTGTCTATGTCTATCCAATTGATTCTTTTGGTATTTTTGCTTGGCCTCCCATGATTCTCAGCCCCAACTCGGAACCTTGGAGCTGGGACTCCACACGTGAAGCCTATGCCTGGCTCCCTTAGTGCAGACAGAACCAAGCTAGTGCTGTCCAATGTCACAAATCTGCCTTGGAGAGCAGGAGAAGAGGTGTGCTGGCAGTTGGGACTGGAGGAGGCTGATTGCTTCTGCCATATCCAGACAGTGCTCAATTTCCTTTCGTTGCCCTCTGTGACACTTCATCTCGGCAGCCAGTTTCAGCAGTCCAGATGAAAGGCAGAGTGTAAGGTGTGAAGGTGCAACAGTGGTGCAGATCATTCCTGCTGTGGTTAGTTCCATGTCTTTGTGTGTGGGTAAGCCTCCAAGTTTAGAGGCATATGCATACAAAGCATGGAGAGAATTGGACAGCACCCTTGTCAGCTTAGTTCTCTGAAAGCTCTATACTCCCTTTCCTCGGAAATCTTGTCTACCTTGATTTACATTTTATTCCCCAGTAAAATGATATGAAAAAGGGAAGCTTGTAACCTTAACCTTTACTCATGTTTTCATTACAAAAGGCAGGAACTTGCTGGATCTGTATATTCACTGTTGGTTTCAGACCATTTGCTGATAACATGGCATGCATTATGCACAATTCAGTTTTTTCCCTTACCACTTGCTGCACATTCTGTGCTATAGAGAGGAACTCCCTAGATCCTTTCTGCCGATACTCTGGAAGAAACTCGATGTTGGCAACACGAAACAATCCAACAAAGTACAAAGCATCTTTGTTTTCTACCTGAACTGTAAAACAGAATGTGAGGATATATGTTACTTTTATTCTCCTCTTACGTCAATTCAAAAAAGGGCAACAGTTCTCTGAATGATAAAGTTGTTTCCAGGACCTGGAGAAGTTAAAAGTCTAACACAATGGCATTCACAAGAAAATGTTCTTCACCAACACTGTGAACTCAGCTTTGAAACTTAGAAACATTGGAATTTATTTTAAAATAAGGCAGCCCCTCAGCCCATCAGTCCATATTGTTGATACAGACTGATCATGGCTGTCCGTGTTCCAGGAAGCCCTTTTCCATGCAGTACCTAATGATCCCAGGGACTGAACCTGGGACTCCTACAAGTTAAGCACCTGCCCAGCACTGAGCTGCAACCCTTCCCTTAGCTTGCATGTGAATATGCCTTGTAAACTGAAGGCTGGATTAGCTCTCCATCTTCCTCTCACTAGCCTCTCACTAATGGTTTATGCGACAGGTGCTTGCTTATTCATCTAGGCAGCTATCCTTGGTGTGCACAATTCTTTTTAAAGGTTGCAAAAGTGCATTGAGAAAGGTATGTTGCTGACAGGTGAGACACTACCTAATAGCTCCTCACTGCCCCCTGCTTCCTCAGCACCATGCAGGATATGTTGGACTAACTAAAAATATGTGTATGCTTTGCTATTAAAACATATTAAATTCTGTAGATGGCATTGCACTGCCGCATTTTATTCATATTTGGTATATGACAAGAGTACAGAGATAACGTAACAGCCCTAATTCACATTCCTAAAGAGAGCAAGGAGGAAAGGCATTGTGCAGGCACATCAGAGTACTTGGAATTAGGTTAACTGGGGTCCCAATTTCATTAACTAGGCCAGCTACTGGAGCAGTGGCACTGGCTGTTTGCAACAATAGACAGAACGAAGGCTACAGAAATGTGGCTCAAGAAGACAGAGGTGGAAAAATGGACATTTTCTGTTTGAAGGTATGTCCTTTCCAGGTCCATCTGAAAGATAATAAACCCTCAGCTCTGTTTCCCATCAACAGTTATCACCTGGAGAGCAGGCTGAACAGATAGAAACTCAGGTCACACAGTCATAGTCTTGCTCCCTACAGTGAGATATACTGAAATTCCTATTATTATTATTATTATTATTATTATTATTATTATTATTATTATTATTATTTCTAAATTTGCATTTGTAGATATATAAGCATATTGAAAATGTATGCAAAACACTATTCTCTTTTGTCCTCTGATGGACTGATGCATTTCCTCTGCTTCAACATTTCATGAAGAGCACTCTATCCTACATTACATCCCACATGTAGTTGTGGTAAAGGTAAAGGTTTCCCCTTGGCGTTAAGTCCAGTCATGCCTGACTCTCGGGGGCGGTGTTCATCTCCGTTTCCTAGCCGAGGGAGCCAGAGTTTGTCTGCAGACAGTTTCCGTGGTCATGAGGCCAGCGTGACTAAATACCAAAGTGCACGGAATGCTGTTACCTTCCCACCCAAATGGTACCTTTTTATCTACTTGCATTTGCATGCTTTCGAACTGCAAGGTTGGCAGGAGCTGGAATGGAGCAATGGAAACTCACCCCGTTGTGCAGATTTGAACCTTTAAACAACACAGCAGTTTAAACCACTGCACCACCTGCACCCCTGTAGTTGTGAAGACCACAGCAAAAGAGAGCTATTTAGCTCACATTGGCCACTATCCCCACCCCCAGACAGCACCGTTAAGTGTTTCATACACGTATGCCTGCATATCCCCTCTTTGGCCCGATGCAGTGCTACTCCCATCCAGCTGTGTCAGATCCAGAAGCATTATTTTCAGGAAGATCTCACAAAACACACATCAGGCTTTTGTGCAGTGATTCAGATGGACAGCCCATGAGGAAGAAGAGAAGCTGAGGGAGAAATTGCCATCCTTGAAGCTGTGTGTACAGAACTGTTGAGAACAAAAACAAGAATCTGCTGTGCACTCTCTTCTCTCTGCTTATATATTGGGCTTTGTGCAACGGAGGAAGCAAAACCAGTCCTAGCATGAGGAAGTCAGGTAGCTTCAGATACCCCAAAATGGCAGCAGGTTTTTAGATTTTTACATTTATTTCTTGTTGTACGTTTGCTTCAAGGAGGAGGGAGAGGCACATGAGATTTTCTGCCTTATTTGTCAACATAACCTGGCTGGCCTAGGCACTATGAAACTTGACAGGTATGTGTGTGTGCTGGAGGAAGAAATTTGCTGTACTGCCTTAGGAGCAAAACGCATTGGGGCGCTTGAATGGAAATGTGTTCCCCCTGAAGGGAAGCATTACCAACCATGCCAGCATCTTATTTTTTCAAGATGCTAAGGAAGTGTTATCATCTAGCAATCCTGTTCCAGAAGAACGTTCTTCTTTCTTAGGAGATTGCTGCACTGCCTTAGGAGATACCTGTCAGCAGCATATGCATCTTCTGGGAAAGAAAAGCAGTCAACAGTTACCTTTATACAATACTTCTAATATTTGCCTTAGCTTATACTTCTAAAGGGACCTCTTCAAATGCATTCGTAGAAATGCCTAGGTAATAGATGGAGGAACTTACCAATGAAAAGCCACAACAACGTCCAAATTATAACACCTACAATGAAGAGGATCACTGTGAACAGGATTATTTTATTTTGAAAATTCCAGACAGACTTGCTTCTTTTAGCTTTCCACTTTGATTTTGATGTCCTGCTGAGTTTTCTTGCAAGTCTTTCCCACTTTTCTTCTGAATCTGCCATTTGAACGGTTACATTCGATACCTTAATCAAAGGGGGGGAGGGGGCAGGAATCACTCCAAGAACAACAAATTCATGGTATCTTCCCATTCAAATCTGCATTCTGTATGAAAAGTAGGCATATGCAGTGCTCTCTCAGAGGCATGGCTGCCCTTGTTGCAGTGTGAAGCCTCAAGTGGTTTTCATAGCACCCTGTTGTGTGTATGGCACACAGTCCTCATAAGCATCTTTACTTAGGCGTATGTTACAGAATTCATATTCTGTGTTTAGTATTACAATTCTACTGTAGTTCAGAACTCAGCTAGTGTCTTTGCCAATATTTCTGTCGGCAAAACAGAGTGTGGACGGGTGTTTCCCCCTCTTCCTGCAGTCCTCCCAAATCTGCTCTGGAGAAATTTGGATCTGCAAAGGAAGGTGATTCACCAAGTTTTCTTCCACTTACAGATTTCTATCAGCAGAGGGACTTGTGAAATAACACAAATTCTAGAAATTGATACATGCAAAAATGCCGAAAAAGTTTAAAATTAAATTAAAATTAAGCAGAGGAACACTAGTTGGATTCAACTTGCAATGCCTCTTTCATTAGAGAGAGCCATAGATTGTTTCACAAAGTCTCTTCATTATTTCACAGCTGCAAACTTAGTGCACTAGAACTGCACTAAGGACATAGCTGTGCAGTAACACAGAGAGAGAATGGGAGGAGGCAATTTTTCCGCAATCAGAAAATATGATTGGCTGGAAATGCATCATGCACCATCATGCATACAGTATTTACTACAGAGGTTCCCAATGCCAAAGAGACCAGAGGTCTTTCCGTGAAATTGGGAATTAGGAACTAATTGCACTTCACATTCCTCACTTCTCAGGGTGGTAGGAAGCTTTTCAAGGATCAGTTTCCTAGCAAAGAGAAGGCCTGGAATTATATGAAGTATTTGCAGTATATATTGGTTCAGAAATATACATTGGGGAGTATTGGGTGATGAGCAGACCCAGAAGTATGGGTGTCCTTCTGAATAGGCTGGCTGGGCAAGGAGTAGGAGGCATGGCACTGCAGTGGTTCTGCTCCTACTTAACCAGCTTATTCCAGAAGGTGGTTCTAAACAATTATGGCTGTATCATTGCAGTTATGCCATGGGGAACCTCAGAGTTCCATTTTATCCCCTATGCTATTTAACATCTATGTGAATCCACTTGGGGGAGGTTATCTGGAGGTATGGGCTGACGTACCACCAATATGTGGATGCACTCAGCTCTACCTCTCTTTTTCATCCAACCCAGGTAAGGCAGTGGCCACTCTGAATCAGTGTCTGAGCATGGATGAGGGCCAACAAACAAAGACTTCATCCAGAAAAGATGGAGGTGCTAGTGGGTAGTTCATCTGTCCAGTTGGGTGGCATTCAACCTGTTCTGGATGGGGTTGCACTCCCCCTAAAGGAAAAGGTTTCACAGACAATCCAGAGTTGTCACCTGAGGCACAGCTACATTCAGTGGCACAGAGCACCATTTATCAGCTTAAGCTGGTATACCAACTACAACTTTATCTGGCCAGAGAGAACCTAACTACAGTTACCCATGCTCTGGTAATCTCTTGTTTGGTTTACTGCAATGCACCGTGAACGGGGCAGCCTTTGAGAACAGTCTGGCAACATCAACTGATTCAAAATATGGCAGCAAGATGGTAAATGGGAGATTGGCTCACAAAAACACATTATGTCTGCCAGTACTAAGATTCAAAGCCCTAAATGGCTTGGGGCCAGGTTATCTGAAAGGCAGCCTCCTCCCATAGGTATCTACCCAGACTCTGAGGGGGTCATCTGCAGGGGTCCTTCTCTGGAAGCCTCTTCCAAAGGAATTGAGATGGGTGGCTACCAGGAGAAGGGTCTTTTTGGTTGTGGCACCCTGATTGCAGAATGAGTTCTCAAAGAGGTGCACCTGGTGCCAATTTTGTATTCCTTTTGACTGCCGATGAAGACTATTTTTATTTTCCCAGCATTTTAGTAGTTTAAATTTTTAGCTTTATTTTTATATTGCGCTTTATTCTGTACTGCTGCGATGTTCCTATGCTGATTTAATTGCAATTTCTATTATGGTTTGTTGTATAATATTAATTTTTGTTTGGTTGTTTTTAAACTTTGGTTTACTGCTCAGAGAGCCTCGGCTATCGAGTATAAAAATTAAATAACTAAGTAGGTAAGTAAGTAAATCAGGTCCTCAAAAATAAATAGCATTTCAAAGCATCCTTCCTAGCATCCCCTACAAAATTCAGGACCAAATTATATGGGAATGCAACAAGCCTATTATAAGAAACGTAAATAGCAACCCTGGAACTGCAGTGTCAAGACCAAAGACAGGCATCCTTGTAGGTTTCCCAGGAGTATGGGAGAAACAAGGGGGTTAAGTCACCCACCCTGCCTACTGTACTCTGCCCATTTTGCTCTTTCTTCTCCCAACCACTATTTATTTTATTTATTTACATTTGCATGCAATTAACAGTAGTTGCTACTCTGGGGCCAAGTCTCTATTACCAACTATGTTTCTTTCTGCCCCACAGGCAGGTATGTATGGATAGCTGGTGGTAGCCACCCCCATCAAACATAATTCATGCTAACTTAAGCAAGCATCTTTACTTGCTATTAGTATCCAGTGAAGCATATTTTGCAATTGAACCGTAATGAAAAAAGGCAAAACAAAGGGCATACTTACAACTGTATTTCATAGATAAATGTCTTTCTTTACCTATTTATTTAGGAGTTTATACTCTTCCTGGCTGAGATGTTCTCACTTTAAAGCTTTCACAGACACTTGGGACTATAAAACCCCTTGAACTTTCTGCTGTTTTTATTCTATCATAGCATTTGATTGGGCACTATTGGCAGACCAGTACATTTACAGCATGCAAATCTCCCATAGTAAGTTTTATAGCCAACTGTTATGACAAAAGTTTCTCAGATGTGTACTTAATCTGTTAGAGAACAATGTGTTTCTTTTTCTCATTCCATTTCTAATTATCTATTGCACAATACATTCCTGCTAATAAAGCAATTTAAGTATCACAGAACATTGAATTATTTAAATCCTTCTCTACTTTTATTCCACGTCAGCGCTCCAAGATAACAGTTACTATGCCAACTAACTGAATGCTGACTATATTTAGATATACCGTTTAACTTCTTTTTTCTTTTCTTTTCTTTTTTCTTTATATCAAGAAATGCCACTGGTTTTACCAGAAATACTTTTCAGCTCCCAACATAGGTCTAGTAGCATGAAAAATCACATCCTAATATTGGGTCCTATCCATCGGATCCAAAGAAATGCACATCATATTTCCCCTGAAAATGTCAGTTTAAATGAAGTGCACTGTTGATAATGGGGATAGTGTAAACAGGCGCTTTCAGAATTCACAAGCTGAACAAATTTATGACAAACAGAATATATCAGTGTTGACACAGACATAATAAAAGAATATCACTTACACTTAATTCATCTTCACGTTTAACAGGTTTGTCGCTGTTTTTTTCATCCATTGTAGGATTTTTTTTAAAATGAAGCAACGCTCACACTGCCTGCTGGAAGTATGCAGTGGTAAGGACTGTTCGGAACTGTGCCTGAAGGAGGACTCGTAACACTGCCCACGGGGACCTGAAAGGTATGGCATCAATTTACATTCAAGAGTTTCCATTGGAAATTTCATCCACCTCATCATCCTGTTTTTGTGAACATTTAACAAAGCTTTGTCAAGCAGCACTAAGCTCCAAACTTGGCTGCCCAGATCATCTTCCAAAATGGTTGTTTTTCATTTTTAAAATCATCAAGGTGGCCAGACAGTTCAGCTCATGCAATAGAAGCTCCTGACAGACAGACAGCCCTTGTGCATGTTTGTCTGGAAGGCCCAAAGTGTTTTTTGAGGCTTACTTTCATTTAAGAGTCCATGGGACTATAATATTAATGGTCTAGAAGCAAGCAACCTTACTCAGATAATCTCAGGAAGCGTGATTTATTTTATTCATACTCATTATTAACATTTATATAGCCCTTCATCTGCTGCAAAGCTGTTAAGGTAATGTACTAAGATTTAGACGAAAAGAACTGTGAAACAGATAATGAATTACAACTGGATGTTTCCAAAGACAGCCTTGAAAAGCCATGTCTTTATACCTTTTCCTTCTTTTTTTCAGTAAGTGTTATTATTATTTTTCTACCAACAAAAAGAAACTAAAAACCATCAATCATCAGAAACATCAGACCTACTGGGTCAGTCCCCCATACTTTTTTTATAGTAATCCATAAACATATTTAAATCTATTCATGGTCCTCTTTCTCTAATCAATAATAAAAAGAGTTCCAAGTTTGATGGAAGTGTTTTTATACCCTTTCTAAAGGCTAAGAGAGGGGCACCAACTGCTCTTGAGGAGAACCTTCTATAGTTTGGGGGCAGCAGGGGACAAAGTTGCATGTTCCACACAAATGAGCCTTTGAAGGTGCGCTCAGTGGGAACTTTGTGTATTTTATTATGTTGTGAGCCGCCCCGAGGCTACGGCAAGGGGTGGCATAGAAATGTTTTAATAAACAAACAAACAAACAAACAAACAAACAAACAAACTTTCTTGCAGATTGTATCACTTGGGAAGGTTCATAGTTAGGCATATGGTCTCTTAGATATCCAGGTCCTAACACTGGATCATACAATGAGTTGGAAGAGGCCAAGAAGGCCATCAGGTCCAAACCCCCTGCTGTTGCAAGTCACGAATTTACACTCAGATGTTAAGGGATCTAACAACTTGCATTGTGCCTGGAAAGTAACTGACATTCAGTACACATCTTTCAGGGCAGGTTTAATATGGTCTCAATACTTATGTCCTGGTAAGCAACCTGACTGTCTCACTTTGCAGCTATAGAAATTTCCCGATACTCCTCAGTGGTGGCTGACACAGAGCATTTTGTAATATTTTAAGCAGGAGATAAACAAGATATGGATAATTTTTGCTAAGTGAACCTGATTCAAG